ACAAAAATTTTTTTAGACTTATATAAAACCGTTCGTACACAGAGACTCACATGCCAAAATTCACTTTAAATCCCAGTCACCCGAAGATTGTTGTGCGCACATGCTCCTCCCCGAAATAGCCATAAATGAGCTTACAACCCCTAGTTTTACTATGCATATCCTCCAAACCAGTTTCAAAACATGCTAGCCAAGATGTATTTTCTGTAGGGAAGACATCATATCAGATAACACAATCTAACTACCTCTCCAATCCTACCTTTCTCTGCTTGTCCGTATTATCCCACGGTATGGGTGCACATCCCGATTGTTGTGGGGGCAATCTTTTGTTCTCACTGTACAACATAAGAGAAATGATAAATAATAATCCAAATGCAATTGTAGCCTTGGAAAATACTTAATACTTGAAAACTTGCTTATCTACAGTATGGAGTATCCATATGGAAATTAATTAAAACAATAATATGAGGAATACCCGCACAACAATTAAATTAATACTTTGTGTTGATAATGTAAAAGATGACAGAATATCAGATGTCAGATTTCAGACCTCTCTTCCTCTGATTTCGCCTTTTCCCTATATAAACAAATAGACTTGGTTCAGTACAGCACAGATATTTGAAGCTTAAGCATATTCTTTCAAAGATAAAGAACATAAATAAAGCTGAAGAGCTTAAGACCTTGTCCAGTAGGAGGTTGATCAGCCACAGCAACAGTCCCAGCCTCCTGGTCCACAGAAATTGTGGCTACTGAATCTAAAATGAGTGAAGAGACAGCATTGACTATCATCATAATATACATACAATTAGGTCATAACAGAGACCTGAAAAAAAAAAAGATATTAAAGCGATACTACAGAGTACATCATCCCACCATAGCCTTGTTGTTTGAATTTCCCATGTGCTGTTGGTAGGAAGAAGAACAAGAGAATTTGGTATAGCATAGACTACATAGCAAACCATCTGAGACCATGAGCTCTATGTTGTACCAAATTCTCTCGTTCTTGTTCCCACTGACAGCAGCATACAGTGAGCTCAAATAACAGGACTATGGTTGGAAGAACTCAGTCAGGACACTGTAAAACCTTGTACTGTAGGAGGAGGGCTTAGCAACAATTTGGACCACCCTCAGTCCCAGCCCCCTGGTCTAAAGTCATGCCACTTGTCAAATCTGAGGATGAGAATGAGTGAAAAGAAGATGTTGTCTCTCTAACGTGTATACACAGATTATATAACACACAGTACAATTAGGGTCTATATTCACAAAGAATCTTAGGGGTGAAAGCATCTCAACATTTTAGGAGAAGAAAAAATAATTGGGCTAATCCCTAATGAGGTAATTTTAACATAATTTAGGAATTATTTTGAGCTAAAATGAAATCGTTGTGAATTTTGTGAAAGAACATAAATAAAGCTGAAGAGCTTAAGACCTTGTCCAGTAGGAGATTGATCACCCACAGCCACAGTCCCCTGGTCCACGGATATTGTGGCTACTGAATCTGAGGATGAGTGACATGGTGACATTGTGTCTTATAAAAGTTTAAATAGGTGTAGTGAAAAGACATCCGCTGCTAATGCATATTTTCACAAAAATCTCAGAGAACACAATAAAGTGAAGGCACCAAATCAAGCCAAACGCACCTTGTTCTCTTAATGGGTTCGTTATCTCAAAATTTAGAATGACAGTAGCCTCCTCAGGCTCATGGCTACTGTCTGTTGCCTGTTCTAGATTCACTAGAAGAATACAAACACACACAAAAAATGTACTTTACGCAATTAGGTCAAAATGTGAAAGCTAAGGCAAAATAATACAAAATCCACAAGCCTCAGATACACAGAGAAGCACAGTTGCCCTTACTATTTACAATCATTGATTGCTCAACACCATCTACCCCTAAATAATAATATATAAAAAAATACATATATAAAGTTTATAGTATATAAATATAGTTTTACCTTCAACCATCATTTTAAAAATTTCATAAATGTTTTGCACACATCTCTGTGCACCTTTGCTCAACAATTCATCTTTAGGTAAGATCATTTTGGCCTTCTTGTGTGGATATTCCACCAGGAGCAAAGTCTTCCAGCCAACTGCGTGCAGCTTCTCTATCTAAAGATAAAAACAAAACAAAAAACATTTAAAACATTTCAATTACAAGTGCTTTGGTGTGGCTGTGTATGGATCTTTGTCTGCTTATCACAATAGCACAAAGCTGGGACACAAATGCAGGTCAACAAGAAATATTTAGCGTAGAAGCAGACTTTTGAAACATCACAAGGAATAGTTGTATTCAAGATTTTGATCTTTAAGATGGTAAATCTGTTGAATAAATAGCTTCCATAAATATGTTAATGCATTATCTTGTCTCAGTCAAAACCAGAAAGTCTCCCCAGTACCCCAAAATAACTGGACTATGGTGACATAGAACAAGAAAAGTTACTTACCAAAATGATGGCATCATCCCACAAATGTGAGGTCACCTGATTTTTTTTGTGTTGGCAACCCATTTTTTTTTTTTTTTTTTTTGCTCGAATTTTTCAATCTTTTTGTTTAGGCGCACATTTTTAGGCTGTGGGGCCTTGCACATAGGGCACTTCTTGAAGCTATTAAAAATGTTATTTTGCATGCTGGGCAGGTCTTCTTGAGCCCTCCACCTTTTGACATGTTTTGATGCTGTAAACCAGACAGAAGGCATAATGTCTGTCACAAACATGACTTCAACCAGGTTCAGTTATAATAAAGTTTTAGTAAGTTACTGGATTTACTCCAAACATCGAAATATCAGACTTTGATGACTAACTTATGGTTATGTTTGATGGACGCTTTTTTAGTAAGTAACAATAAAAAACACAACTCAAAAACTACAAGATATAAAATACTACACTACTTCATAATACATTACGTAAATGTCTAGAACATCATACCTCAACAGCAACTACAACAAACAAAGAATATGTAGTACCAATAGTTATTTGACATAGATATGGGTGTAAAGTTACAAAATATTAGCCTGGCTGCGCCCGCCTACGCACTTCCGCTCAATTTCATTTTCCAAATGAAATGTATGTACGAGAGTCTGGTAGAACCAGGCTAACAAAATATCTCACCCTGGCCTCATTAGGATCTTCAAAGGCTGCTGGGTGGTTTTCCGACATGGTGCACAGATACAATACAAAAATACAGACAATAGACAAACAGTACAAATATGAAGATGAGTGTGTATGCATGCGTGCGTGCGTGTGTGTGTGTGTGAGAGAGAGTGAGAGAGAGAGAGAGAGAGACTAGAGAGAAACAGTGAGAGAGAGATTGAAAGAGTGGCTCTTAAAAGTGCCTTTGTTTTCTATATAAAACTGAAATAGAGACAGAGAAATGGAGATAAGATGTAAAACAGCAAATAATCTGTAGAACAGACAAGAAAGCATAATTAGATATATCTCTGAGAAAAAAAAATGTAATGTCTACATTAATGCGAGACACTAAAGGTGAATAGGGTAAAATTTTAAAAATAAATGAATCTATTACCATGATCACCATGAACCTTCCTCAGTTGATTAATTACACAAGTATATAAAAACAATGTATTATAAGTTTAATTATGCAAAATAGGAATTATATCATTAAATATGCGCAATTTTTGCATATATAGCTATTTTCGGTAACAAATCTGAACACAAGATAAAGCAGGTGGAAAATTATTTTTTTTCATTTAGTTTACACAAGATGGAAAAAGACTATCAGATGGACTTCAGGATAGGGCCTAACGTTAACATTAGCTATATGCTTTCATCTCACTTTTCCATCACAAAAAAAAAATAAATAAACGATTTTCACTATATTTCTTTGGTGTACATGGTGCTACATAGGATGATATGTTGGTAACATTACTGAAGAATGACAAAAAAAATAATTTTGAGAAAACGTCTTTTAAATATTTGTAAAAATGCATACTTTTTTTTTTAGAGAAAAACAACTAGCAGCTAACGTTATTTACAGACACGATATCATGTCAAATATTTAGCAATGAACAATAGCCTACAAGCGATCTAAAACGCATTAAAACTTATATTTCAACATTTATATTTAGTAAGTAAGTAGCAGGTCTGAGATACATACCGATTGGTAGAGGGGATCCTCGCAATGACGGAAAAACCGCGAAAGTGCCGTGGGGTCGCCGCCATGGCAACACGTCCGATTTAACATTCATTTATTATAAGTCTTTATCATTTTTTTCGTTGTCTGTATATGCCTATCTGTCAATTGAGTAAATTAAAGTAAAAAAAATAAATAAAATAAATTAGTCCAAATATTATTTACACCAGGCTGATGGATGGGGAGTTTGATTGATCGAGCCTGCCAGTTATCCGTGTGTCCATCACGGATTCAGAATTTGACAATGTGGAAAACTGTTATACACAAAATGATCAGGGGAGATAATATGTTCACAGTTTAATGAGGCTACATTTCATCGCAAACACAGACAACTCGAATAGCCTAAAGTGTCAAAATCAGCAATCTCCAGTGAAGGTGAAACAATCTGTGGCGACCACCAAATATTCCGTAGTACGGTCACGGAAGAAACCCGTGGTCCCATCACGGAAGAATCCGTGGTGCCGTCACAGAATTTGTCAATAAGCAAAAGGCTATAGAAACTGGTCAGGGGGATAAGAAGTTCACAGTTTAATTAGACTACATGCATCACAAACACGGACAACTTGAATAGCCTAGTGTCAAAACCAACAGCAATATCGTCCAGTAAAGGTGAAACAATCTGTGGCGACCACCGAATATTCCGTAGTACGGTCACGGAAGAAACCCGTGGTCCCATCACGGAAGAATCCGTGGTGCCATCACAGAATTTGTCAATAAGCAAAAGGCTATAGTCAGGGGAGATAAAAGGTTCACAGTTTAATTAGACTACATGCATCACAAACCCAGACAACTTGAATAGCCAACCTGAAGTATCAAAATCAGCAGCAATATCGTCAAGTAAAGGTGTGGTCGACCACCGAATATTCCGTGGTACGGTCACGGAAGAAACCCGTGGGCCCATCACGGAAGAATCCGAGGTGCCATCACAGAATTTGTCAATAAGCAAAAGGCTATAAACTCGTCAGGGGAGATAAAAAGTTCACAGTTTAATTAGACTACATGCATCACAAACCCAGACAACTTGAATAGCCAACCTAAAGTACCAAAATCAGCAGCAATATCGTCCAGTAAAGGTGAAACAATCTGTGGCGACCACCGAATATTCCGTGGTACGGTCACGGAAGAAACCCGTGGTCCCTTCATTTGTCAATAAGCAAAATGCTATAACTGGTCAGGGAAGATACAAAAGTTCACAGTTTAATTAGACTACATGCATCACAAACCCAGACAGCTTGAATAGCCAACCTAAAGTATCAAAATCAGCAGCAATATCGTCCAGTAACGGTGAACCAATCTGTGGCGACCACCGAATATTCCGTGGTACGGTCACGGAATTCAGGGTGACCAGACGTTATCCTAGCGATCAAACGACGACAGAACAATGCAATATCAAGTTAAAATCAAATATGTAAAGTAAAGTACTTTAAGTAAATTCAGAATATATCTTTCCAAATTATAAAACGACGTCAATTGGGGGAGCGCGCAGGTATTGTAACAGCTCGTGTGTAGACCACGGATGCTGCCTGTCATTGACTTACATAGGCATCAATTCCGTGGGCACATCACGGATTTTTTGGCAAATCCGTGACACTGCAACGGATTTTGAGTTAAGAGTCCGTGTTCATTTCACGGAATTCTGTGAGATCAGGTTGTTTAGAATGAACTCATCCTCCAAAATGGCTTAATTATCATTGAGATAAAAGAAGTGAAGTTATTTATTTTATTTTATTTTATTTGGAATTCAACACAATCTAAACAAATGGTAGTCGATTGTAGAAATGGGGCCGGTGTAAGACACAGGGAACCTTATCAGACAGTGGGGTGTCTCAAACATCATTAACATACAGACCACAGGTGGATGCATCTGATGTGGAGACATTGACAAACATTTTTATGATGTTAATTGCAAGAAAAATGCAGATTTTAGGGTCTTGGGACAAAGGCATGGTGGTGGCTTAAGATGAAGACAACTAAAAGTCTGAATGACAAAGGTCAAAGGTTAGTGTAAGGAATTTACCCTGTCTAAATTACAGTCTTAGGAGGCTGTTGAAAAGATTATTCGTTTGTTCGAGAGAGAGAGAGACTGCTTGAAGGAGAAAGGGTTGGTACTTTATGTTTTCATTCAGACAAAGAAGCTGAAGCAATTTAATGATAATGAATCAAAACCAACACAGCTGACTTTTCTAGAATCAAATGAATAATGAACAAACATGTTTTGAAACTATAGTTAAGAGGCCATAGAAAATAATTAGATAAAAGCTATATGATTATGCAGGGTTTAAAATATCATTTAAACTGTAAAATCTTTTTAGAGAAAAGATAACAATAAGAAATATGAGCATTCATATTTAGATGTATTTGATGGTGATTGCACTTTATGTCTTGATAAGAGTGAGTTTAGAGGAGTTGCTCTGTCTGAATAGTGTGTGTCAGTAACCTCTGGAAAAGAGTGTTTTATCACTACTGATGAGTTAAGGCGAATGACAAATTCAAGAGAGGATGATAATTTTGAGTCAAACTGACAATCAAGCTTGTCTGCTGGTCATGGATTTTGGTCATTTATGATGAACAATTAGATATGAATTACTGTCCGAATCAGTTTGAGTACTGGTGGAAGTTGGAATTGTAAGTTAAATGAATATCAGTCATGCGTTGGGATAAACAAAAGGATTAGATTTTAAGGCAAGAACAAAGTGACATATTGGCTAAGATATCGAATTATCAAGAGAGTCCTTAACATTTATGATTATTGTAAACAAAGGAAAAATGATGACTGACATCGACAAGTCTGTACAGCATGACCTGACTTGACAGAAAATAGAATGTAAGACTGAAGGCTATTAGCCTTCAAATGCTCTGATGAGAGGACACCATTGTGTTAATTTGATGCAAGAATGGATTCCTGCATAAAAAAGGGGGATGTAATGGTAACAGTGGCCAAATATGATATGGTTTACTAGAGGACAAAAAATGCCCTAATAAAATTGTTGTATAACAAATTGCAGGACTGATTCGACGGGAAGCGCCAGGGCAAAAAGAAACTGTATACTTAAACTCAAAATTAGTTTTTCTCTACAGAGCAAAGCAGATTTTGATACAGGAATGTGCCCAA